AATTCTGGCTTTACGAGCCCAAAATAATTTCACGTACGCCGCAAGCCCCGATTGGAGAATTATGACGCGCGGAAACACCTCCTACTATTTTACCTTTTTTGGTAATTCGAGCTTTTATGAACGGTTATCTTGGTTCTGTATTTGAAGGCTGCGTTGTTATCGATATAAAACTATGGGCAATTAAATAATATTTAACTAATTAGTAGTTATATGTAGTATTGTACATTTAATAATTAAAATCTTCCAAAGATGAATAGATAGATACTTGTTTAGCCTTAATGTGTCCTAGATATCTTAAAAGCGTTGGATATTTTTTTCTTGGATTTCGTTCATGACGTTGAGCATCACGTGTCGTCAACGTTATACTAAAGATAACAATGCAGTATGAAGATTCATCAACGAGGAATCTGCTTACGTCCAAACTAAAACACATAAACTTGCACCATAGAATTGAATCATTACTGTTACTAACAAAAGTTACTAATTTAATATTTGACCTTAGGCCTCGTCATATTATCTTAGAAAATTTTTAAATTTTATTTTTAATATTTTCGTATCAAATACATAGAGTTAAATGATAAATCTTATTTTAATTGCATTTATTAATATTGATTAACTTGCAATATATTTTATTCCATGATATTTTTTGTTCCGAGCCTAAGGGTTGATCTCTGCTTGATGCTGCGACATCATCTGATATCTTCAGGAGAACAAATTTTACAATATATAATAAATGTGCCTTTAAACGTAGACGTAAAGTATCAATAATAGTTATTTGGTGGGAGGTTTTGAGTTATTGCTTCAATTTACTTAATATTTTGATGAACGATTAGTAACTAGTAGTACCAATTAATAAGTAAATTTGTATATATCTTTATTACAATAGGGTAACTAACTAAGTCTGTTATTAGCTTAAAAAGATATTTCAAGTTTAGTAGTTTTTTGAGTCCGGTGGATTTTTTGCAGTGTGTTGTTTATTGTGATGCGGCAGACTATTAGATAGGTATTAGAGACTTTAAAATACGTGTAAAATACCGTAACCGCTGTGAGTAAGTTACAATTGTAGGAATAACCCACTGACACGATTACACCAACAAAAAAATGTATAATTGTAAGTTATTTTTAAACAAATCCGTTTTGATATTTATGAAAAATGGACAGTTGGCAAAGTTTTGAGATATACTATAATTATAAAATGATTTATATTAAAAATGTACTTACTATAAAATCATAATCATCAGCTTATCAGAGCCTACTGCTGAGCAAAGGCCTCTTCTATCATTTAGAAGATTAAAGCATTAATCACCACACTTGCTCATTGCGGGCTGGTGATTTCAAACTTATTATTTGAAATTATAAGGTCAGGTTTCTTCACGATGTTTTCCTTCACCTTCTGTCAGCGGTGTCTAAATATTCTTAGAAAGTACATATGATTCGGTAAAATCACATTGGTACTTGCCATGTTTCAAAAATTCGCCCTCTTATTACTATAATCTATACCTACACTATAAATTACTACGGCTACAACAGTGCAAGTAATAATTAAAGTAATCAATTATGAAAACAGCATTGCAATTTTTATGAATGCTTAAAATAGTATCTGTCTCTTAAATTGGCTTTTTATTATTCAATTTTCTGGGCAAGAAAGAAAAATTTCTCAGTCCAGGTAAAACATAGAAAAATAAATAATTTACAGGATTATCATAAAAATAACAAGAAGACATAAATTTTGTTATTGCAAATCATTTATGAAAACGTAAAATATATTTATATATTTGTAGTTGTGAGTAATGAAAAATTGTACTCGTTCGGTGCACTACAATATCATAACTATTGTATAGATTAAAAACAGTGGCCAATAAGAGTAGTAGTATCTTAAAACACGACCTTAAAAAATGCTCTGATATCATTTTCTTTAATTAGAAAAAACTTTATATCTAAAACAGCTCTTGTTTTCGAATTTCTGTACATTTTCACTTATAACTTTTAATTTATGGTTCTACGACCAAAATTTGCTGAACCAAAGTCATAGAGTAATAGTTTACGAGATAAATATTAAAAATCATTGTAACCCTTTTTTCAAGATGATGGCTCTGGGTCAGGGGTAGTGACTTCACGAAATTGGTTTTAAGCTTACCAAGCCAGTTCTTTAAGAACCGCAAGCATAGGCTTAAAAAAAATTAACGTCTCAATGGACCAATACACCTATGAATCGTGAACATTAAACGTATTCATTTAATATATCCGAAAAATATTACTTTCATTTAAAGGAATAAAACTAACAAAAGTTTTAGATCTCATGAAGCGTATTACCTATCCCTTATTTATAATTCTAAGAATTGTATATTACAAGTCATACAGAACAGATAATGCTCTATTAATAACATTATATGCGGGAATTATTTAAATATTTTCTTGTATGGAGTAAATTTATAAGATTGCTTGATGAGGCTGTCATTTCACTTGTGATCAATTTATGTACTCAGTCGTCGTAAGTAAAATGTATGAACAATTAATTTATTTTCATAATGAAGTGATGTAATTTAAAAGATAATACTCAATTTTTTTTTGTTATTAGCTTAGTGTCATCCTTAATTAATTTCGGAACAATGCTTATTTTTTTTCTAAATACTATTTGTTTAGCAAGGAATAAAAATTCATTGTGTTTTCTATTCACATATTTTTTTATTTTAATGTAGTCTTCAAAATACATATCTTTGTTGAGATTTTTATTACTATCACAAAATATATATACATTATCTAAAAGGGTTATAAAAATATCAAAACATTTGAATAAAAATTAATTATTTGAAAAAGATATTTTTTAATTGTTTCATGTATGCTGGAGCTAGGGAATCAAACCTTTTTTAAAATTTCGATGTTACAAATCAATTTTATATAATTTTATTTACTATTCTTTGATACAGTAATGATAAGATAAATCATTTGGTCAAAGGTAATGTATGGAAAATTCTATTACGTGAAGGCTATCAACAAACTTTAATAAGAAAATAATTTCTAAGTCAACTTTTATTTTCAGTTCATACTGATTATAATTATTGAGGATGAAATTTAATATTGAGTTATTAGAAAATTTTGTACTGCTTAGAATAAAATTTTTAAATATATTTCATGTTAATTTTTAAAATAGTTAAATGATATCTGAATATTGAATAAATTCTTTTAATTAATTAGTTCTAAATAATGATATCACTGATTCAGATTTGAAAAAATTATTATGTGATTTTAAAAAGAACCTCGGTATGACTACGACCGTAGCTCTGTAGACGGTCTACGGTATTTTAAACTCTTAAATGAAAGTGAATCATTGCCTTTTGGTTTATAGTTTATTCACTTGTTGAAATTAGAATCATTTATTGTAAATATACATCACATTATAAACGCCTTTTTATATAATATGTACATATAAACATTTATAGCTCCAGTTAAGTCTTAATTGCTGTTTCATAATGATTGTGCATTTATACTATTACGTTTAACTAATGTTTCGAGCTAATATTGATCAAATATATGTATTTCTCTGGTGACATATTTTAAACATTTTTTCATTGTTTATACTACACGTAGGAATTGCGCACTGCAATATTGCATTAACGCTCATACCTAACTGTTTTATTAAAATACAATATGAAGGACATTAACAGGGGAATCCCATATCAGAAGTTATTTTTATCTAAAGGAAAACGGTCCGAGCTAATTGAACGATCATAGGTCGAGATATCGTTTGAGTTAATATATTGTATCTCTAACAAATCATTGTATTTAGATATCATATGATATAATAGTGTTATTATGACTTTACTTATTAACCTAGGTCACTATTTTGTCGGACTTGGTAATTAATGTAATTCATTTTAATAATGAAATGATAAGGTAAGGGCTGCCTAGAAATTTGTTGAAAAAGAAGACGGTACTTCATAGAAATTTTGATCATTTCGTGGATTGCTTTTATAATCATCTAAACATTACTTGTAGTAATAGATAAAAATTAATAATAATACCAAGAAAAAAACTCTAGTTTTTTTATAAAATTTAGTTTTCAATATTGATTGAAATTATGCTATACATATTCAATAATAATTTATCGGGATAAATTGAAAAGAATTATTCATATAAAATTAAGTACAAAGTTTTATTGGGCATAAATTATTATCTTAAAACTAGTCACGTGATTGAATCACTTAAAGCTTTTTAAGCTGCCTTAGTATGAAATAATCTAACAATAATTGAGATTCCATGCCTTTGGCACTCACTAGACTAGTACTTAAAAAAAATTACATTCTATATATACATACTACAAATTTACAATTCATTAAGAGAGCAAGTTACAATAGTCGAGCTATACATAAAACAAACAAGAACCGCTTGACTAGAAGACGATAAGGAAGTATTAAACTAACTAATACTGTTTATAACTACTTACTGGAAATGAATATCACAATTTAGGAATTGCGTTCATCCAACGCTTATTATACTAAAAAAAATATACTAAGAAACTTAATAGTACTAACAGTAATATTGTAACTAAAACAGAACTAGCATAAAACCAGTCTAAAATATTAAACGGCAATAAATGTTTGAAAAGTAATTGAAGAAAATCTTTAGTACCTGTAGTGAAATGACCTTTTGAAAACTTAAAAACTGAATGGTTATAAAGATATTTGTTATTTTACATATTCACCGTTTAATATCGACCAGCTATAAATTAAGTACATCAAAATAGGACACAAAATAATGGAACATAAGGCCAGTCAATTCACAACACCGTTTGGTCCCATTTTTATATTAACAATAAATAACTTAACGCTACTGTAATACTGCTAAAATTTCATGAATACGCTTAACTATAAGACACTTGGTTCAGTCGTCGTTATCTCTGAGCTCACAACGTAAGTTCTCACTTTAATGCACTTGATGGCCTTTAAATTTAATTGGACACCAGCCTGTTTTCATTATTGCTTCGGAGACTGCTAAAATTTTTATGACCAGAACGTTCTTCTTTTCTCACACTCGCATTTAGATCGATTCCACCTCATATTCTGGTTCCGCTATAACAATAGAAAAAAAATAATTCAGTCTCTCCTCATTCGGGGAGATGAAATAAAAACGTTAATGATAAAAAAAAAACAATACAAGCTGTAAGACAACGGATGTCACGATAAACTCGTGATGGTACGGCGTCTGATTAATAGAATTAAAAATATTTTTTATAGATAAGCTGATGACGATTGAAGTACATCCATGCAAATGATAAAAAAGTGTAAGCGATGTTAAGATATTATCTAGCGTGCGTGCCGTTCCACATCTACGTTAGTGTTCACAGACATCCATCATCCTACCAACCTTTGATAGACATTTCCTTCTGTCATCCATGTTGGGGCATTGACAGGAGCACTTACGAGGATTGAACACTCTTGGGGCCACGCAGTCCCTGGGTGAGGTGGTACAACAGCCGCAGCTCTCGTGGACCTCAACCTCGTATGTAGTGCAGGTCTCCTTTTCAGTTTTAAGATTGTACACCCTTACCTGCACCGATATATACATTTGATTTATCTTTCACGGAACATCATTAATCATAACATGCCCGTGCTGACTCACACGAGCTGTATGGGAATTATGTCATTATTATCGTTAGGGGACAATTGGATTGCGCAACCGAGAACAAATGAACAACTGTGTCAAGGATATGTCTAAGACAAACAGATAGCGCTGTATGGGGATAAGTTCAACAAACACTATGCATACCGGTATGGCTTCCATTCTAGTCTTGATGGCGATGCACTGCGAGCCTGGTGGTCCGAAGTTGCAAAGCCCAACACAGCGTTTGACCCAAACGGAGCTCGGTACAACCTGGGGAAATACGTTAACGTCAGTAAACTCATCTAAACATTCGGATGCGGATTTTCTCACGCATTAATGACCACCATCACGGATGTAACGTTGTCCACGTACAAGTATTAAAGTATTTAAACTTCGGCACGTTATTTAATTAGTCTCATTACAAAAGCGCGATATCATCTACATTGTTGGATTTCTTAATGAAATGTTATCAACTGATATCAAAGTTCAAATATTTATTCAATTACAATATTCTAAGAATATATTATACTATCACTGCTCATAGTTTTAATTATGGAAATTGCATTGTATACGCAATATTGTGAAATTAATTTCTATTTATTTTTTAAAACTTATCATATCAAAGTTGTTATTTTGCAATGACATTTTAAATAATATTCATTACCATATAATACTTATATAAATTTTTAATTTTAATTTTATTTTTTAGAAATATATGTACATGTTATAATTTAATCAAACTGTTACAAAAGTAATAATAATAATTAATTTAAATAAAATTACAAAAAGAAAATAATTAATATAAAGAAAGTAAAATTTCATCCTAGGTAAGAGATTTAAATTTAAATAATTTAAGATTTAAATATCTAATAATGGTACCTGTAAATATGAGCTCGTATGCTTTAGGTCTACAAAGACCTCTTTGGGTTCACCGCAACGTGATTTCTCAATGAATTGATTTCTCAGCTGATCTTGTTCGCTACTGCAGGCCACTGCTGCAAAATAAAACAATAATTTATTCAAAATCTTAAATAAGAAAACCAAACTTTACTTAAGACTTAAAGCAGTAAAGTTATGAACTAGCTTCCATGAGCTTTTCAACCCTAAATTTTCTTCCTTTGGGAAAGACAGTTACTTTTTATTAACTGCGATTCTTAAAATTAATCACCTTTCTTTAATGGATCACTTTCATCAGATTTGGGAAACTTTGGATGGTGTTTGCCGGTAACTGCCACCACAATAACAAATAACAACAATATTCTGGCCATTATCACTTCACTTCACTATGATTGACACTCGTCTGTAATCACTGTATGAAGGTGCGTGTTGCTCGTATGACGGTCTGGTTGTTTGTGGTGGTTGGCGGCGCGGTTTTCTATTATAAAGCCTGATTCAGGGCTTGGCGTTGCGTCACGGTGCACGGTCAACGTCGCTATTTGAACAAACGCTACGTCACCAACACCGACCTGCTTCGAAGAAATACTTCGGGATCTTGACATTAGTTTAGATATCAGCTCACTCGATACCATGATTCCGGTTTGATCAACTTATTAACAGTTAACATAGAATGCATTGCGTTATGCAATTGGAATTCGTTTTGACTTTCGATTAGATTAAATACATATATTTCACGGAAGCTATATATGAATAATGAATTTCAGTCATAATTTGCTTTTTATTGGTACTCGTATATTTAATATGTGACGCGTGGTGGTTCGGCGCCTGTGTCCGATACGATATCACCAGACCGCTACGAGTTATCATCGAGTTACTTTTGTGACGTATGTAGCATGAGCGCTGTTATCACTGAATCATGTCCTCAATAAGGCGCGTGCTGGACGACTTATAACCCAAATAATTAATTTCAGGCCACCGACTAGGTTTGTAACGGTTAAGAAACGATTTCACACAATTTTTTAAGGACGTATGTGTATAATAGGTATTACTCAATATTGAGTAATTCAGTAAAAATTTTGTATATCTCATAGATATTTTATATCTTTACCAACAAAACGGTAATCATTAATTCCGAGGAGATAGGTATCTAGATATAATAGATATTAAAATTATATAATTACATTCTTATTATTCTTGTTTTCTAACCACTTGAACTAAACTGGCCTAAAGAAAAATAATACTGGTTAATTATAATGACATTAACTCATTAAATGAGTAATTATATTATAATGGCTACATTAATCATATTATTTAAATATATTAACATATATTACAAAACTACGAGACTATTTCAAGCATTTTAAAGCATTGTTACTCAACCCTGGATAGATATTTTGTAATACTATAATACATACGTATGTGTTTATAGTATTACAAAATATCTATAATGTATATTATTCAGACTGAAATTGAAAAAAAAGGTATTAAAATAATCAAAATTTAACTGTTTCCTAAAACTTAAAAGTTAATTGAGTTTAATTACTAGCTTAACAATCTAGTAAACTAATAATTTTTACAATGTCGTACGAACAGCTTTTATTTAAATTATTCTCTCTTACTAGGAAATATTTTTTTGTACTCGGACGAAGTAATCTTTTTAATACAATTTCACTTTAATCACGTGTGTAACGAACATGAATACAATTAACCTTTCTATTATATATTTGAAAAGTATATTTTTTCTAAGTAATTGTCATGTATGACGTCACTTATCATGACTGGATGAATGGAGGCAGCCCTTTTCGGTTTCATCATTATTTGACATTATATAGTTAACAGCTAGGTGCTACATTCATTAATGATGAACTAGGAAATTTCCGATTTTGTATTAAAAGGAAACTCAAGGTCCAATTCATGAAACTTTTGGTATCGGTTTTTCTAATCAATTTCAAAAGTATTTTTCTAATTTACGAACTATTGGTATAACATTTGGTCTCAGAGAATTATGTAACGGGTGACTTAAATTGGTAAGATAAAAAAAATCATGGATGTTACACAAAGAAAATAAGTGGCTTTGATTTTAAACGCACTTAAGATGGATTAGATATCTAACAAGGATATATCTGTACTCGTCTTCACTACTAAGAAGTTGTAAAAACATTTCCTCATTTAATTTTTTGAAACAAGATAACTTCCATAAGATGTTATAGTTAAATTGTACCTCACATTTTTATAGACCCAATAGATTAATAATAATATTCATAATAAATCTATTCCAATTTAATTCAACAAATTTAATTTTAATTAGAGAAAATCATCTCTTAACATGAATAACTCTTGATAAAATGGCATACGTTTTCAGAGTGTGAAAATAATATCGCACAAAAAAGTTTTCGATTATTTTTGACAAGTCAGTAAAGCGTAACATTTACACATTTTTTTTCAATTTAACGAAATTCAAAGCTCCTATTTTAATCATAAAACTTAAGAAATATATACTTTTTGTATAGATGTTGTTGGATTTTATGAATATTTTTTTATTTATTTTAAGTTCTATTAAAATTAATTGAAAAATAATTATTTTTAACAAATTGTTGTGTAATTCTCTAAGCGTTACGATGTTTTCAGATTAAAATTGATTATTTTTTAGTATAATCTAAACCTATAACGTAATGCTGACGACACGAATATTTGTGAACAATAATATGGACGTGACTAATGTCAGTTACGAGTATTAAAAAATTACCTTCATGATATTGATAGGTTTTACTCACTACGTGTCCAGTTCGTAGTTTCACATTAATACTAATTTTCATTTAAAAGGTGTTATAGTAGTTCTAATGATCCCTAGGGAAAAGATTAATCCTAATTCCGAAGACTAAAATAATAAGCATAAGAGGTCTTTTTTACACAAGTAATTTTTATATTTTGTTGAACATATTTTAACACAGTTACGCACCTCAATATACGTGGACTTAAAATTGATGGCATATTTACATAGCTTCTCAATCGAATTTCATTGAAATGAGTCATATGATTTTACCAAAAACGGTATTATTTTTTATGAATGGAAGCATGATTTATTTATTATGGTATTTTGGAGGTCTAAATAATTTTGAAACATACTTACGTGATACAATTGATGGGCATTGGTTAATTAGTCCAACAAATTACTCATATCAGCACGAGTTTTCGTCTCGTCTGCCCGAGATCACGGTTGCCGTAAAGGACACATGTACATGTAAAATAATAAAAAAAAATATTATTTAAAACATATACATTAATTCTGGTTTTTGAGTGAATTATCTATAATATATCCTTTTTGAAAATGTAATTTTGTATATTTTTTTAAGTCACCACTTACTACAAGAATGAAATAACTAATAAGAAAAAATTAGAGGGCGCTAAGTTTTAGCATTTTGTGATCAGTTGTTATATAAAATTTAATCTATTACTTGATTTCTATTTAAATATAACTTTTATTCTTGTTATAATTTAAGATTAACGGTAGGCACATGAAATTAACTGATACAAAAAAAAATATATTTTAAATCAGTTGATAGCTTACGAGACTTAGTACCTATTTTTGGTTTTGAATACTCTGAAGACGAAAAGTAACATAATATATTTGCATAGATTAGACTAACAATCAAAAATATATAAAACTACTGTGATTTTTTTAAAAATCTTAATATGATAAGCCCACATATAATCAATGATTATTTAGTAATGGATATTTGATTGCTATAAGTTTAAGACATTGACACGTTCTAAAATATGTATTATATTCATCATGTATCTTTCTTTTTGGGTTTGCAATAGATTCATCGATAACAAGTTAGATTCGGGACTTTCCACTTTTACAGATGACTGTATAGTATCTACAAAATCAGTCCAATAACTTGATTATCTACTACACTTATCATATACTGGAAAATTACAAAAAAAACTAAATATATCTACCTATCTTTTTTTATACATTTTGAAATACTCATGTTATAGAATTAAGTTCTAGAAACTAATGAAAACTTATTAGTATTATTATTATCTATCTTATAACCGTGACTTCGTCCACGTTGTTTCATATGTAAAAAAAAAACATCTTATGTGCAACAAAAATGGCGTCATTAAACATTTGTAAATATTGGAGAGCCTTGCTGTAGTTAAGTTATTGCAGCTCGAACTTGGGCTGGCTCGACCATGAGGCGGCTTGCGTGCTGGCTGGGACGCCTCCCTGGGAACTGGATGCCCAGGTTCTGACGGAGGTTTACCATCAGCGCGCGAGTTCGATCCCGGGGAACGAGTCCGGACCGGGATCGGGTGGATAGTTGGCGACGATCTGCGCGGTCGTCCTTGTTTCATCGGTGGAGGCGAAGGCTCTCTGAGCCAGTGGCCGGGTCGCGAACCGTGGAGGCTATTCGCCCGCTCCTCATGGAGTGGGTGGACCGCCGACACGGATCCTTGACCTTCCGGCTGGTGCAGATCCTCTCGGGGCACGGTTGCTTCGGGAGGCATTTGTGCCACATAGCTGGGAGAGAGCCGACAGCGACGTGTCACCACTGCAGTCGCGTGAAAGACACCGCTGATCACACCTTGATGGAATGTCCAGCGTAGATATCCGAGCGTAGCCAACTCATTCACGTGGTTGGCGCAGACCTTTCGTTGCCGGCAGTGGTCCAGGCCATGGTCGGCAGCGAGAGGGCATGGCAGGCGGTGGCCGACTTCAGCCAGAGAGTCATCTTGCAGAAGGAGGCTGCTGAACGAGTGAGGGAAGACGACCCCTCCTCGGCGCCGTTGCGCCGACGAAGGCTGGGTCAAAGGCAGCGGGCTTATGCTCGCGACCTGCCTCCCCAGTGAGGAAGCCTCCGGGCGTCGGTGGGGAACTGGCGTCTGGGTAACATAGGCTAAGGGTAAGGGCGGGGTGTTTGGCGTTCCCGGCACGCTGCTCTTGAGTCGGAGGGGTGGTGTGGTGGAGCCACCGATACCCCTGCCGAAGGCGGAGTCCCCTTTCATGACTCGTGCGTAGTGAGCGGAAGTATGGCTTGCCGTTCCCGCTCACTAGTCTACGCACAGCGCAGAGAACGCCGAGGAGTTTAGTGGGTGGAAATCCCACACGCCCCTGTCGCGTTTCCCCCGCGGCAGGAAGTCTTTAAAAGATTCCCCTCGTAAAAAAAAAATACTTGTCAATTATTTAAAGTTGAAACGAAAACAATCAAAATTATATCTGTCCCCTACTTTGTCGTGATACGCTCCCAACCCTTAAACCCTCACTTATTTTAATGATACATTTTTTAAACATTCAAAGATTAAACTTCAATATGTTAAAAATTTTAACACTTTTGGAATTTTTATACTACCAAACTTACTAACTAACAAATAGAATGGATTTCTAAATCAAGTTGAAAGCAAAAAGAAATTGACAGCAAGTGTTAAGAAAAATTTGCGTCTGTTTTAACATTTGAAGATTTCGTATAGATAAAATTCATATTACTTTATAATATTTTTCCCCTTTTCTAGAATCATGTTTTTATCGATGTAATCCTTAAATTCACTTATCTTGTTATCTCTGTATTATAAACCTCTAAAGCTAAAACCACACGCGGAATTAAACAAAGGGGAAAAACTTTTTTTC